GTCCACGTGCTGAAAGGAGAAATTTTGTTCCTGCAAGTTGTCTTCTGACTTCCACATGCATGCCCACACACATACATGAACACATACTAAATAAAAAAATTAGAGAGAGAGAGAGAGAGAGAGAGAGAGAGAGAGAGAGAGAGAAAAGGGATGCAGACCTTGTGGGCTGTCCCATGGGCACCTATACTTCCCACAGGAGATCTTGTGGGAAGTATAGGAGACTGTGTCTCCTTCCTTCTCCAGCCCCCCTCCCATTTCCCTCTCTCTTCCCTCTTTTAAGATTCAGACTAGGGATGTGGCCCAGCAGGTAGAGTGCGGGCTAGTATGTATAAAGCCCTCAATTTGATGCTCAGCATCTTATAAAATAGGAGAGATGATGCGTGCCTGTATCCTAGCACTCAGGAATTGGAGACAGGAGGGTTTCAAGTTCCAGGTACTGAACTGGCCAGCCTGAGATGTTGGGGAGTCTGTTTCAAAACAAAGCAAACATGCACTGAGAAAAATCAAGATAAGCAATATTTTTTTAAATCAAATCCTTCATTTATGTTTGTATGTGTACCATATGTCCACAGTGCCCATAAGTTAGAAGGTTCTGAGATGTCTCCAGGTCCTCTAGGAGAGCAGTAAACACCCTTAACTGCTGGGCCATCTCACTATCGCCAAGGTAAGGTGTGTTTTTAAACTATAAAGAAGACGGGGCTTGGCCAGGCAGTGGTGGTGCTCGTCTTTAATTCCACACTCAGGAGGCAGAGGCAGATAGATCTTTGCAAGTTTGAGACCAACCTGATCTCGATCTACAGAGAGAGTTCCAGGACGGGCTGCAAAGCTACAGAGAAACCCTGTCTTGAAAAACCAAAGAGAGGAAGACAGGGCTTGTAAAACTGTCTGTTCAAGGATAAGTCGGGACAGCTACAGACATCAGATGGCAGGCCCTTCTGTGTCTTTCCACCATATACTTCCTGAATTCATCAGTAAGACAGTTCCCACCAACCTTGCTGTGGAAGTGGCTAATGCCACCCAGCATCCTGGCTCCCTTAGATATCAGACAGTAGCGGTGAGTACAAGGGATCCTAGATCTGAAGATGCCTTTGTTTTCTTGGAGGGCAATGAGTTTCCGCATCTCAGTAATACATACTCTTTGAGTAATAACAATGAAATCATTCTAGATTCTTGTTTTTGAGAGCTTGTTAAAAGGTAATCCAGTTCAGTCATTGAAAAAAAAATGTTTTGGCCAGGTGGTGGTGGCACACGCCTTTAATCCTGGTGTAGCATGAATTCTAGTTGGTCTTCATAATAAAAACCCAGAGTCAGGTATAGGGGTTAATGCTGAAGGTCAGAGAAGCAGAGAGGCTGGCCACTAGAGAGTTCTTTTACGCCTACCAATGCTCAGACTAAAGGGGTGATTCTGTCCTCAGACTGCATCTCCAGATGGTAACTGTCTCACCGAACCTCAGACTGCCACTGTCTCCACCGAACCTCAGACTGCCACTGTCTCCACTGAACCTCAGACTGCCACTGTCTCCACCGAACCTCAGACTGCAACTGTCTACACCAAACCTGGGACCACCTTGTATTCCTCTCTCTATCCAGCCATATCACTCCTGTCTCCACCTCCCTAGTGCTGAAATTAAAGGCATGGGATCCCAAGCGCTGGGATCACCTTTGTGTTTGCTCTGTTTCTCTTTTAGATAGGTTCAATCTTGTGTAGCTCAGGGGGCCCTGAACTAAGAGATATCTCTGCCCCTGTCTCTCCAATCCTGGGATTAAAGGTGTGTGCCCCCACTCCTTGGGCTCTAGTGACTTAGCTCTGTACTCTGATCTTCAGGTAAGCTGTGTGTGTGTGTGTGTGTGTGTGTGTGTGTGTGTGTGTGTGTGTGTGCAAGCACGCACACCTTGGTACATGGGTAGGGATCAGAGGGCAACATATGGGTGTCAGTTTTCTTTCTCCGTGTGGGACTGAACTTAGGTTGCCAGATTTGATGGCATGCACTGTTACTCGCTGAGCCATCCCACTAACCCCAGTCCATGCATTCTTTAAGGGTGGGCACTGATTTTATAGGCTACCTAATTTCCGGTAATTTCCTTAAATTTCTGAGGAAGCTATGTTACGAGAGCTGGAGTCATTATTCACCTGAGGACCCAGCAAGGTCAGAGTTGACCTCCAGCTCCAAGACTGTGCACCTGTGCACCTGGCCTTCCTTCTTTCCTTTTTTTTAGGGGGGGCTGTTGAGACAGGGTTTCTCTGTGTAGATTTTGGAGCCTGTCCTGGAACGCACTCTGTAGACCAGGTTGGCCTCAAACTCACAGAGATCTGCCTGCCTCTGCCTCCCCAGTGCTGAAGTTAAAAGGCGTGCACCACCTCCGCCTGGTTTACCTGACCTTTTTTAAGAAACAGCTCAGAAACTGACAGATGTGAAATGATGGGTGGGGCTTACATTTCCTTTGGTTTTGCTTTGTTTTATTATTAATTTTAAACAGTCTCATTATTTAGCCTAGACTGACATCAAATTCACCATGTAATCCAGGCTGGCCTTGAACTCAAAGTAATCCTTCTGCTACTCTAGGCAAACACTGTACTGAGCTACATTCCCAACCCACCATGGCATTAATGTGTGTAACCTAAAGGCCTAGCCAGGAGATAATGCTGTTTTTCTAATCATGTATTCCTTTACTTGACATATATTTAAAAACTACCTGATTGGCAGACCTCGTGCCCAAACCTGTATGGCTGGCTTTATTGGTGGGGATCTCAGTACTAGCGTGGCGCCAGCAGCCCCTGCGATTTCTTATGGCCACCCAGCGTCCTGGCTAGTTTTATGTCACCTTGGTACAAGCTAGAGTTATCTGAAAGGAGGGAACTTCAACTGAGAAGATGCCTCCATATTATCCAGCTGTAGGGCATTTTCTTAATTAGTGATAGATGTGGAAGGGATCAGCCTTCTGCCTCTGCATAAGTTTCTGCCTCCAGGCTCTTGCCCTCTTTGAATTTCTGCTCTGATTTCCTTCAGTGATGACCAACAATATGGAAGTATTAGCTAAATAAGCCATTTTCTCCCCAAGTTGCTTTGGCTATGATTTCATCACAGCCATAGAAACATGAAGATACCCAGTTAACTCATTCTAGAGGAAGCTGAACCAATGCCCTGGCTAATTTTTATGGACAACTTAAGAGTCACCTTGATTAAAGGGAACCTCAACTGAAGGCTTGCCAGATCACATTGAGCTGTGGCTGAGAGATTTTCTTGATTGATGTAGGAGGGTCCAGTCTACTGTGGGTGGAACCATCCCTAGGCAGGTGGTCCTGGGCCGCAAAAAAAAAAAAGCTAGTTGAACAAGCCAGGGAGTGGGAGCCAGAATGCAGCATTCCTTTGTGATGTGTGCATCCTTTCCTGCTTGAGTTCCTGTTGGGACTTCCATCAGTGACGAACTGTGGCCCGGAAGTGTCCGCCAAATAAACCTCTCCTCATCAAGTTGCTCAGAATGCTTTATCACAGAAAAGCAAACTGGAATAAGCAGGATCTTCTAAACGGGGCAGGTCTCTCTCCCCCTCCCCGTTTCTGTAGCAAGGATGCAATTTGAAATTCGAGTTGAACTAGAAAAGTCATGAAAGGTGTCTTTCTCTTCAGCCTGTCACCACAGAACAATCGGTTTGCTTAAGAAATCCAAATAAAACATCTTCCTGACCTGGTTGTGACAATGTGTTACATAAGACACAGGCCAGCTTTGTGCAACACGTTAGTGTGTGTGCATGCGTGAGTGTGTGTGTGTGTGTGTGTGTGCGCGCGCGCGCGCGCACGTGTGCGTGTGTGTATGACAGTAAAGCCCAGGCTGGCCTCAAACTCTTTGAAACCGTCCTGCCTCAGCCTCCCCAGGGAAGAGATTACAGGTCTGAGTCACCATGCCTAGCTTCAGATCTTTTTAAAACTCAAATATTGTCTGTAGGCATGGTGCTGAAAAGCCTTTAAACCCAGCACTCAGGAGGCAGAGGCAGGAGGAGCTCTATGAATTTGAGGTCAGCCTGGTCTACTGAGTGCTCTCCGTGACAGCCAGTACTATAGAGAGACCCTGTCTCACCCTGCCCCAAACAAAACAAAACAACAACCTCATCCGAATGTGGAAGCCTCCCTAGACACCATGGAGGTACAGCACTCAGTCTCGGGAGCTTCAGAAGGGAAGCACAAGTTGACCGAGGAGAAGAGCTGAGCGCCTGCCCTTTAGGAACACCCTGCCAAGAGGGCCCTTGGTAATAAAGAACCCCTGAGAACGGGGCTGCTTTCATAACCTAGAACAAATGATGCAAATGACGGAGGCTGGGATTTGGGGGCATGGACAAAGGCACCTCAACACCATCAAGCCCGTCCTGTGACGTCACAACGTCACCACACTCCAAAGCTGCTCCCTTCTCCTCTTCCACCACGCTGAGGCTCAGTGCCTTCTGAAGAGTCCAGTGTCTACATCCTGCCCTTGCTTTTACGCACCTTCCCCAGCACACACAACCATGAACTGCTACAGTTATCATGCCCTGCACCCACGAAACAGTCCCATGGATGTAGAAACAACCCACGGAGATGCACACCTAAAACCACGTGTTCTTCAAGGGGCAGACATCCCTGGTGATGGAGGGCAAGCAAGCAGGTAGACAATATGCAGATCTCGAGACATGGCTGACATGCTTTTCCCCAAATTCTGTTCAAATTCAGAGTTTATAATATATATGACATTGTCAGTCTGGACCAGGTCGCAAGTTCGTTACCACTTACAAACTAGTTTAAAGGCTGTTTTTTAAAAAAATAATGTATCTCACATATTAATGCCATCTTGGAAATAGAAAACTTATAAACTGGATGAGAAAATTGAGGTACCACCAGTGGCATTGGCCTTTTAAGTCTGTGAGACTGTTTTCTGAATCTAGAGTTGGTGTGGTCTAATGGACACCCAGGAAAACCATCCCTCTAGAAGACAGGTCTGCACCCCGAGACACAGAACTACTCAACTCAGAATAAGGACCAACCCTGAAGACCCATCGTTTATTCAGGTTAACATTTCTTTAACGGGAGTGCAGAAGAGGGAAGTGGAGGTGAGCAGAGGAATGGATGGTCAGACCACCATGCCTGCGAACACTCCATCTCCAGACAGATGAAAATGGGCTGAAGACCCCAGTTCACGCCTCATGAGTCCAGGAGAAGAACGTGGGCTTGGATCTGAGAAATGCTTACTGAGAGCCAGGCATGGTGATAGAGGCAGAGGCAGTTCAAGACCAGCCTGGCTACAAAGTGAGTTGAAGGCTACGTGGTGAGATTTTAAAAAAACAAAATCAAAAGCAAACAAATAAAAGCTTCCTAGAGAGCTAAGAAGGATGCTAACAGGAGGTCAGCCGAACCCTGGGTACGAAAGGCACCTCCCAGAGGTCAGCCCGTGTTCAAGTAGGAGCCTGCAGCCCATGCTTGCAGCATCACATAGGCATACTGCTGCACCTTCAGGGGAGGAGACGAAGTGCAAAGCCGGCACATCTGAGCATCCTGCCTCCCTACAGGAGTTCCTGCACTGCCTCCTCCTTGGGGAGGTCGGATGGGATGAGATGGACCAGTCACCTCCCCTTGTTGTTATCAGCCAAGACTATGTGACTGGAAATGCTCTTGCCCTGGGAACAGACAAGCACAAGTTTGTAAAGGTTTTAATAAATATCTCTTTGAGTCCACTGTTTTTGAAATTGGTTGGCCTTTTCCCCATAGGAGTAAGCGGAAAGATCGCCTCAAGGGCTTTGATATGCTTTCAGCTCTTTTGTAACTTAGAGGATTTTATTTTTCACAAGACTATCTTTTTTTTTTATCTACCTGAAATTAGTTTTAAGTCACATCTGAGAGCCATAAAAAGTTTAGAACAATAAAAAGGCCGCAACTTTACAGAAGCTCAACCAGAGCCTAGTCGGGAGGTCAGCCGCAGGAAGAGGTGTGGCCAACAGTACTGTTGCCACAGCCAATTCCTTTCAGTACTTTTTACTTTGCTCCAAGTCCACCAAATGACACAGACTCAAGTTGATAAAACTCTACTGCCCCCAACTCTAATCTCCAATGAGGAGGCAGCTGTGGTGGCCTACAGGGGATGATTCGCCCCGCATCCTGGACTGTCTCCAGACGCTCGGGGATTCGGCTTCTGCCGTGGCTCCACGCGCTGCTGCCGCTACTATTGACGCTGCCATTTCCAGGGAGAAGTCTCCAGTGGCTTCATCGCCGGCACCACGCGCTCTGCATCACATCCGTGTATCCTCGATGGGGATGTCATCCTGTAAACAGGGAAGAGAGACGGACACTCAGCTGATCTCCCTGGGCATGTGAGATAAGGCAAAACTCATACAGTGGGAGTGAGGTGGCAGGCAATGTGACCGACGTATTTATTCACACACTATTTCGTCTCTAAAAGAACCCAAAGGAGTTAGGTAGTTCCATTAACTCTACATTGTAGGTGAAACAATTAAGGCATTGAAAGAGGGAAGTGACTTTCCGTGGTCCAAATTGTAAAGTTCGGACTTAATTCCAGGGACCAGAGCTTGAGATATTAAACTACCTGTGAGGGGTAACAGAAGAAAGGTAACCCTTTAGATAGCACCTTACATTTGATGTCTATGTAACTTTTCCCTGCTCTGTGGTGTGTGTGTGTGTGTGTGTGTGGTGTACATACAATACAGTTTCTTGTAATGTGTGTATAGTTGTACATATACATTTGGGTGTAGAGGCCAGAGGAAGATGCTGGATGCCTTCCTTCTTGTCCATCTTGTTTGCTTATTTGTTTGTTTGTTTGTTTATTTATTATTGAGATAGAGTCTCATTGTAAAGCCTTGCTGGCCTAGAATGACCTATGTAGACCACACAAGCCTCAGAGATTTGCCTGCTCCAGCCTCCCAAGTGCTGGGTTAAAGCACGGTTCACCATGCATGCTGCTTTGTCTGCCCCCCACCCAAAGCATGGTGTAGAGGATCTGGGTTTCGATCCTCACGTTTGCGTGGCAAGAACTTTCCCGACTGAGTTCTTCCCCCTCCGCGCACTCCCCCTTTCTCTTGAGTGCCTTGTTTCATTCTTTGTACTTCACACAGCATGATCGGCAGCCCGAGCCTTGTTTCTGCCTCTGTTCCCTCCGCTTTGAAGCCCCAGTCTCTCCCACAGTGATAAAGACAATCCGTGTTTCTTAAGTGCCGACTGGACAAATGCCGCTGTAATTAGTTTATCTGATCAATTAATTGATTGGTGTCCATCAAAGCACTAAACGGGATTATATGGGAGTGAGAACCCACACTATTGCATGCTGCCTGTCTCGCCCAGCCCAAGGAAAGACCCAGGAGAGGCAGGGTGTCTGGGGAAATGCCAAGAGACCACTCATAGCTACTATCGCTGGGGAATTCTTTGCCCTCGTGTCTGATGCATTCTGGCTCTATTCTGGACCAGGCTTGAGTGGGACCAAACAAGATGGGAAGCAAAATCCCTGCAGGTGCTTCAAAAACAGCTTATGCTTATGACGTGAACAGGTATCCAAAAGGTCAGCACTGATGGAGCTTGGTGGCCTTGGACAGTTTCCAGGCTCACAGTACCTTCCCTTCTAAAACCAGGAGGGTGGGCTAAATAGTACTAAAGTTTGCCTCTTAGTGATTGGAGGTCAGCAGGGGTGGGGTGGAGAGTGTGGAGAGGTGGGGGAGGGGAACTCTTCTCTCTCTATCTGAGCTGCTGCTGTTTGCTGGGGGAGTGTTCCTGAGGCACCCACTTCCCTGGCCGGGGCTCTCTGGGTTAGGAATACAGAGTGTAAAACTGAAGAGATGACCAGAGAGAGCCTGCCCTCTATCTCCGGCCTGAATTTTTCTTCAAGAACCCATCCTTGACCTGAGACTCTCCCCCCAACTCTGTACCCAGGAGACCCCCACTCCTGGGGATCAGAAGTGGCTGTCAGTGAGACAGAAGGGCTCCCAGGAAGACAGGTGTCTCTCAATCTGGGCAAGGAAGGTGTGGGAGCCACTGGTTGGGGACTGCTTGAACTCAAGGAGGATTAAAGGTTTGGGCATTTACTGTAATCTGGGATTTAGTGGAATCTCCAGGTTCTAAAAGATTATAAACCTAGTGACTGCTCATTCTAAATCTGATTTAAAGAAGGCTCAGCTAGAAATGGAAGTATTAAAGTGCCATACTCCCTGAGCGTGTGCGATGCTTTCTTCCCCTAATTTACTTTGTATGATGGAACCCGAGGGCCTGAACGGAGCCTTCACAGCACAGCAGCCCCTCTTGCACCTGCTGCCCTGCCCTCAGGAGTCATTTACTTGGGGCCAAGTGACTTTTGCTCTTTAAAGATTCGTCTATTCAGCTGGACATAGTGGCCCACACCCATCCCAGTCTTCAAGAGGCTAAAAGTAGAGGGTTTCCTTGAGTTCAAGGCCTCCTGGGCCAATTGTGAGTATCAGGCTAGCTTGAGCTATAGAGTAAGACCTGGTCTCGGGAAATGAATTAATTATCTAACAATTCTTCACTCACTCTACACATATTTTAAGGGCTGCCACAGGTTCTACAGTAAGTTTTGAGGAAATACTAGAAGAAAAGTACAAGAGACAATAAAAATGAAGAGGAGAGAAGCTGGAGAGACGATGACTCAGTGGTTAAGGTCACTTGCTGCTCTTGCAGAAGACCTGGGTTTGGTTCCCAGCACCCACATGGTGGCTCACAACCATCCTTAACTCCAGTTCTGGGGGATTCAGTGCCCTCTTTTAGCCTCCACAGGCACTAGGAGGTGCACCTACATGCATACACATAAGATGAAATAAATAAACCTAAACAAACAAGCAAGCAAGCAAACAAACAAACTAACCCAGTTGGGCAGAGGTGGTGCACCCCTTTAATTCCAACACTCAGGAAGCAGAGGCAGGCGGATCTTTGTGAGTTCGAGGCAAGCCTGGTCTACAAAAGCTAGTTCCAGGACAGCTAGGACTGTTACACAGAGAAACCCTGTGTCGAAAAACAACAAACAACAAACAAACAAAAACCCCCACAGGAAAATGATAAAAGTGGAATTATGGGAGAGAGTAACTGCGGAGTGGAAACAGATTTCTTTGAGTGATCACTTCAGTGGTAAACACCAGCTGAACTGAGGCTGAAGGATGGGTTGGAAGTGACCAACCATATGAGGGTCAGAAACAGGAGCATTCTAGGCAGAGTGGGCTACAAAGGTACTCGGAGTAGGGAATGAACTTAGTTTGTTTCCAGAAAAAAAAAAAAAAGACATCAGATTGCTAGAGCACAGCTCTGGGGAGAGCCAGGGAAGGAAGTGTGTGTCCATTCCTGCACCAAATTTGATCTTATTTGGAAAGCAGATTGCTGTAGACGTAGTGATGAGGTCACACTGGCTTCAAGGCGCATCCTGCGCATCCTGCCTCTGAACACTGCTAGCTCAGACGAGAAAAGAGGGACATCTGAGACACACAGACACAGATAAAGGTCACACGGCGATAGCGACAAAGATTGTGGGGAGGCATTCTCAAGCCACAGACTACTTATGACAGCCACCAGACACTGGGAGAGGCCAGAAAAGATAGGAAGAGGGACAGGTTCTCTTTTAGCCCTCTGGGGGAACTCAGTTTATTAATTTTGGAGTCTCTGATGTTCTGAACTGTAAGAAACTACATTTTTGTTATTTATTTACTTATTTGTTTGTTTGAGACAGTAATTTGCTTAACTTTAACTCAGGCTATCTTGGACTCACTATGTAGCCCACGCTGTGTCTCCAAACTCCAGTAAAGAGGGGTGAGAAATCCTGCTGAGAGTAGATCCAGGCCACTCAACCACCCTTCGATCTACCCACAATTCGGTTCCTGTGTGAGAACAAATCTCATAGAGAGAGAACCCAAAGGGTGAGAGAAAGGCCAGAGGCTATCATAGCAGGATGCAGGTGGTGGCTGAGATGCCAAACTGACAAGGAAAAGGATGGCAACAGTCTGGGGCGGGGGGGGGGGGGGGGCCCGGCTGTCCTTCAGGAGCTCCAAGCCTCCACAGAACTGGGCATTCCCCTAAAGCAGCCGGTGAGTTCCAGGGGAATTCCGGGGAGCTGGTGGGAACAGACAAGTGGACGGAAGGGTCCAGGGTGTGTGGAGTGACAGAAGGGCAGGGACAGTGCTGCCTTCTTCTCAGATGCAACACAGGACATGTTGTCCTGTCATGCCTGTGACTCAGTGGATGTCACACAATGACTCCTCTAAAGACCCACCCCGCCCGAGACTAAATAGACGGCACACAAAGTCTCCTCTACAGACCCAACCCAAGGCCATTTGTGCTTAGATGTGTCTGTGATGTCTTACCCTTGCTCACTACACACAGACTCCTTCACCTCTGGACCCCACCAGGAATACCCTGCACACCCCGCTCCCCGTAGACATTGCCAGCACTGGTCACCGAGTTGCCATCACACCCTGCTCACTCCATGCACACCCAGAAGCTGGCCCAGTCAGCCGGAAGCAGGCCAGAACATGAGATGCACCTTCCCTTCTTGCCCCACAGTCAGTCTCTATGGGGTCAGCACAAGGTGAGGGGCTGGTAATTGTTTCTGCACACTGTGCTGATTTAACACCAGACAGGGAGGAACAGGACATGTGACAATGGGGACATCGCCAGCCATGATTCCATGATACCATGATACCATGAACCATCGGAGTTACCTACCATGGAGGCTTCCTGAGTATTCTGGATCTCATTGCTGGTCTCTGCTGGGGCGTTGTCGACCCCTGGGCTGCAGCCTGGCTCCAGAGGTGGCCCCTCCTTTAGCTCTGGACTTTGGGGAGATTTCTCCCTGACTGCTCCCTCCTCTGGGGTCTTTGCAGCTGGGCTTTTCTGTCCGAACCCCTCCTCTTCCTCTGCCAAACTCTCCTCAGAGGCTGTCCCTTCTGTGGCCGTCCCAGCATCTGTACGCTCTCCAGCTTCTGTCCCGTCCAGTTGACTCTCGCACCCTTTCTCAGCCTCTGTGAGGCAGGTTTCGGGTGGTTCTGGGACCTCCAGACCAGCCTGGCTAGCTGTGTCTGGATTCTGTTCAGCCTTCTCTCCTGCACTGACCTCCTCTGGGGTCCCTATGCTTTCTTCTGACTTCTCAGTGTTGTTGCACAAGCTCCTTCGAGAAGGCTTTTCTGTGGACCCCAGGGTTCCCTCCACCCCATCTCCCAAGGCCTCCTGGTTGGGTGGGGGAGACCCGGGGGCCTTGCTCTTGCTAGGGAACACATCATCGCCATTCTCTACCCTGGCACCGTTTTCCTGAGATGGCTCCACAGCCCTGTAGTCTCCAAGGTCCCCACAGTCTGACTGAGATCGCCGGAATCGCCGGGAGGGAGGACGTCTTTTTATTGAGCCTCTAGTCCGCACCTGGAAGAAGACGTGAAGGACTATTATCTTGAAAATAAAAAAGGCTAAGAGGAAGACTATGTGTGCTGAACAAACTCACTGCAGGTCCGTTAACTTCCCTAGGAGGGTGTAAAGTTGTTTGCTGTTTATTATAAAACAGAATTTAGAGCAATGTCTCTCAATCCCACAAGGGTTGCATATCAGAAATCCTGCTTATCAAATATTTACATTACAATTCATAACACTAGCAGAATGACAGACATGACGTAGCCGTGAAATGCTTTTATGGTTGGGGGTCGCTGCAGCATGAGGAACTGGATTAACGGGCTGCATCTTTAGGAAGGTTGAGGACCACCATCCTGGGGGATTGTAAAACTACTTGGTAGGCTGCAGGCTTTTGTCTCAGGAAGATATAAATGCTGTCCATCGGTTGATAATTTGGGGAGAAAGCTCAGTGTGTGAAGCGTTTGCTGTCGATGAAAGAGCAGAGCGAGGGGCCCGAGTTTGGGGTCTCAGCATCTACGTGAAAAACAAGAGGCAGCTGTGAGTTTGAGACAACGATCCCTGGAGCTGGCTGATCAGCATTTCAGCCAATTGCTGAGCTCTGGGTTCAATGGGAATGACCTAAAACACTGTAGATAATTTTTTTTTTTAACAACAGTTGTAAGATTGAATACTGGGAGTCGTTTCCTTGGGCACACCACAATATGATGGAGGCAGACCGTACCTTATTGTAAGAAGGCAGGTGAGTCCCTTCCGGGGGCTGGTCAAAGCTCACAGGTACCTCTTCTGCTTCTGGCTGAGACCGGATGCCGGGGCTACTGGGTGTGGAAGGGGGACTGTGAAATGGTGACACCATGGCCTTGAGTCCAGGACTTTTGGGTGAAGCCCCAGGCAGAAGAGCTGCTGGGTCAAAGGCTAAATTGGCCTGTCAAGAAAGGGGAAAAGATGTTTGTTCACTGGCCTCAGCTGGCTGAGGACACTCAAAAGGAGACTCTGTGTGCTTCTCCCAAACCAATTGTCCGCCATTGCACTCTGACTGCTTCTGGAAGCCTTGTATAGCCAGCCATACTGCCTGTTACCTGGCTCACGGTAGGTTGCCTTGTCAGACGCTCAGGTCATGCTGAGGTGGATCCAATAGTCACTCCAACAGTCCTGGCCTAGCATAGTGGTGTAGCTTTGTTTTCCTTTGGTTTTTCAAGACAGGGTTTCTCTGTGTAGCCTTGGCTATCCTGGAACTTGCTCTGTAGACCAGGCTGGCCTTGGACTCAAAGATCCACTCAACTCTGTCTCCTGAGTGCTGGGATTAAAGATATGTGCCAGGCGGGCGGTGGTGGTGCACATCTTTAAACCCAGCACTCGGGAGGCAGAGGCAGGCAGATCTCTGTGAGTTCGAGGCCAGCCTGGTCTACAAGAGCTAGTTCCAGCACAGCTAGGGCTGTTACACAGAGAAACCTTGTCTCAAAAAACTTTAAAAAACCAAAAAACCAAAAAAAAAAACCCACTCAGGAGACAGAGGTAGGAAGATCTCTGTGTGTTTGGTCTACATTAGTGAGTTCTAGGCAAGCTGGGGCTACATAGTGAGACCTTCTCTGATGATGATGATGATGATGATGATGATGATGATGATGATGATAAAAGCTCCAGTGAGTAGTCACAGTGGCCCAAAGAGAAAATGCTGGCAGCACCATCAGCTCCCAGGTTCCTGCAGTATTTGGCACCCGTGTCATTAGCCAATAGCATCTGCTGCCTCTTAACATCTGCTGTGTGCACCTATCTCTGCTGGATATAGCTGTCGCCTTTGCGATCACTCGACAGAGTCAGTGTTGATCTCCTGAGAGGAAGGTGGCTAAACATCCTGAGGTCCCTGGCTGGCCTGCTCCTGCCTCAGGCCTGCTTGTCCCTAGGCCTGCAGGCAGAGTTCTGTCTTTGGAGACAGCACAATGGTGCTGCACACGTCAAGGCGTCTCTCTGGGGCATCGCAGTACAGCAGAACCAGATCAAGATGGATATGAAGGGAGACCAAAGGCAGAGCCACTCAGAGGTAACCAATGCCTAACAGAATCACAGGTTCGGTGGGAGAACAGGTGGGAGACCAGAGATCAACCTTACCAATGGTAGAGCAGAAGACGGCTACGGAAGGGTTATGTGTTAACAGCCCAGACAAGACCTCACAGAGCCAGGCCTCCAACTCCCCGTGTAGACAGGGATGACCTTGAACTTCTACCTTCAGAACGCTGAGACTGCAGCAGCTCCAACAAGTCTAGGTGCCAGGAATTGAACTCTGAATTGAATGGGGCTTTCTGAGCTCTGGCAACTGAACTGAATCACCAGTCCACAGGTTTTCAGTGTCAGCTAGGGGCACACTCTTCCTCCCGCCCTTTATAGATCCAAACCTCCACAGCTGAGTAGATCTGACCTCACAGAGAGGGGACTGGCAGTAGAGGCTGGTGGAGCAACAGGAAGTTCCACACAGCAATTATATTTAATATAGGATCTTTCTCTCAATAGTGGCTGAATGATCTTGAGCAAATCTAAACACCCTTTCTGAGACTCAGGTTCTCTGTCCCAACTTTTAGCCTGATCTCCACAACCTTTTGTGGTTGATTTCTGGTTACTCTCAAGCATTGCTTGGCTGGTACACTCCATGGCTAGTACACTCCACACTCACAATGCCCCACCCCTCAGGCAAGACAGAAGACCTTGAAACTCTCAAGCCTTGTTAGCACTCTCTGGCTTCGAGGCACTGAGTGTGTTTAGGAAGGTAGCCATTATTTACCGTGTGTAGTCTTAAGGACGAACGCAGACGAAACTAAGTCATGGGAAGAATTAAATATAGAAAACACACAAGAGGCAGTATTGTTAAGTCCAGGTTTTTTGTGTTTTGTTTTTTAAATAGCATATGATGGGTAGGTACCAGGGAATGCTGAACCACAGGTGCCAGGGGAATGTGCATGAGACAGGGTGTGCGCATGACCGTGCATGAACATGCATGGGGATGTGTGTGCATTTCACACTGACCTGAAGCTTCTCAATCAGCGGAGAGCTCTTCACCTTGATTTTAGGTGGGTGGCTGGTGTTGGATGGTGATTTCTACAGAGCAAATAGACCAAAAGCAACGAAGTGAGCCAGAGGGAGGAGACAGGGTGGTCTCTCAAGCTGCCGCCACTTTGGTGCCCATTTACCTTGTCAGGCCTGGATGAGACAGACTTCCTGCCTGCCAGTACCTCCCCAACCCCCACTCAGCCACCCCCACGCCCCACCCCGGCATTTCACCAGAAGCAAGACCACTTGAGTCTGAGCTGAGAAGTCAGGGCAGACCTCTGGATCACAGGAAGCCTCCCCTCCCAGGGAGAATGACTTCCTTGTCATTAGGAGGAAAAACTAGTCTATGGGGATCAAGACCTTCATGGCCTTCCAAGGCAAATCAACAACTGGAGGGGATTTCACAGGCAAAGGGCAAAAATGGTCATAAACAAAATAATAAATCCCAGGCTGAGAATTAAATTAGGCAGAGGTATTAGCAAAATCCCTTCATGGAACTGATATTTTGGAAAATTCCACCAATGGCATGGTTCATGTACTACAATTTTCCCAAATGTGAATATTCATTTAATTTATCAGATACACACATTAAGAATCTACCGGCGCCCTCACGCATCATGGTGGGTACATGAAGACGAAGGTGATCTACCCCCTTCCCTGAACAAACAGTTGTGGCTGCCACCTACTATGCAGGCTCTGAAAATTACTTCTGTGATCAATGTACACCGTGAATTTTTCCCACTTCTGGATTAGACATTTCTAAAAAGATTGGCTCCTTGTTTCACGCTAAATTCCCACTATAATACAAAGGTGAGGACAGGTGTGGTGATTAAATGATGGTGGAGACATAGAAGGTGACTTTCACGTTGACAGGCAGGGTCAAGCACAGAAGGGACTTTTCAGTATTTTGGGATCAAAGTGTGTTACCTCCCCCATCTCCATATACCTGTGCTGGAACCGTAAGGAGACAATCACTCTGCTGCCTGGTAACCTTCTGAGGTGCCTGATTATATTTTAGTTGTAGAAGAAGAGAGACGGAATCAACTGATCCGGGAACTTTTCAGATGCATGCCGCAATGGGACTGTCAAAGGCTGGGATTCAGAGACCTGCTCCTTCTGACTCCAACTTTGCTGGTCAGGTGGATGCCTGCTCTACCAAGATTTCCTGGCTCTGGCAAAGGATGCCTAGGGCTTTCCTTCAAGCTCTAGATTGCCTCTGCCTCCGTGAGTCTCCACTGTCAGACGTGTTCCTAGAGCTGCCTGTCAAGGAACTTTGGTTTCTCCCCAACTGGGAGGTTTCTGGGCTTCACAGAGGAATTTCGTGTTTTCATAAACTGCAGCAAAAATCTTCTCTACCAAAGTTCACTTTAGGTAGTATTATAAACTTTCCCAACTCTTATGGAAGACAGTGGAAATCCAACAGACAGCACCTTTAAGAGTGCTGAGTGCTAGAGACCCAGCAGGTGTGGACTGGGAAACTCTTAAGGGTTTGAGTACAGGATCCTGCACAACCGCTAGTGCAGTTCACAGGATGGACAGCAGATGGCAGCATTTAGTTTATAATTTAATCACAGGCTCCAGGCCAGTGGCTGGGGTTAAACAAATTGCAGAGAAAAAAAAAAACAACTTGGCATTCATATATTTTATGTGTATGTGTATTAATATGACATTCCAACCATATATTATGACATCTAGAAGTTGTGAACCTGATAGTTTCACATGAAGTAGTATTCATGTCCTTCCAACACCCAGTCATCTGGTTCTCTCAGGAAAGGCAACTTGTCACTTTGCCTACAACCAGCAGGAGAAACCCTGGCGACTGACCCCAGAAGGTATAGGAGGTAAGGGATGAAGCAGTCCTTCCCATCTCTGTGCATGAACTAACCGGAAGGCTGTCAGGGTTCCAGTAGGCTGCATGTACTACATAGGCATGTAACATCGCCATCCAGCCCTGCTGGGAGAACTGTGCCCTCTTTCTCAGACAGAGGTTTCATTCTGAAGTCAGGATGGCCTGGAGCTTGCTATGGACTGGGATTATGACTGTGTGCCATGACACCCTCACTCTGATTTCAAGGCAAAAAGAAAGTCACTGATCCTGGGGGCAGTGTGTGCATGAACATACAGCATCACACTCCAGAGGGTTCTGAGTTTGACCCTCACCTTCCTCTTCATTCTACCCCTTGGCCATTACATGCCTTTAACTTCTGGATTTTGTGCTCCACGGATAAAAACTATAAGTTTATTCTTATAAAGTCTGTGAAATGAAGCTGTAAAATCCAATCTCTACGAGTCTGACCCGCTTCATCTGCTTTTATTCCCACGAGCAAAACTTCCCCATCCAGCCCAGCCGTACGCTTTCTGGTAATGTTCCTGTCCTCGGTTCACAAATAAGGAACCAGTGTGGGGCAATGACTCCTCTTGAGAAAAGCCCTGGGGACAGCCTCAGATGGCCACAGCCTCAGCCCTGCACCAGCAGAGGTGCCAAGCTCAGCAAGGAAGGGCTACAGGAAGTTAACCCTTTGTAAAGAGAAGTTGGTGGCAGTAGCATCGGCTGGGTTTGCCATGGAGCCATAGCATCATGATGCCAGCCCCTGAGGAGACCTAACAGTTTGTTAAACTTGGTTCTGGGGACTCCTCAGCTCACAAGACCACTCTGCCCAGTGGAAAGGGTCCCAGGCCCCACCCACCCCTACTTGACTGGGAGGCAGCTACGAGTTCTCTGTCCTTTGAATTTTGTAAAATTTATTTTTAACTAAACAATCTTTATGCATATGGGTGTTTTAGTGCCTGGTGTCTATAGGGGTCAAAGGAAGGCATCAAATTCCCTGGGACTGGAGTTACAGATAGTTGTGGAGCACCATGTGATGTGGGTGCTGAGAATCGAACCCTGGTCCTCTGGGACAGCAATGAGTGCTCTTATCCACTGAGCCACATCTCAAGCACCACACACACACACACACACACACACACACACATACACACACACATACACACACAGAGTTTTGTTTTTCGAGAAAGGGTTTCTCTGTGTAACAGTCCTGACTGTCCTGAACTCTCTTTGTAGGTCAGGCTGGCCTTGAACTCATGGAGATCCGCCTGCCTCTGCCTCCTAAGTGCTGGAATTAAAGTTGTGCGCCACCACCAATCGGCTCTATTTACTTACTTATTTGTTTATTTATTTATTTATTTTATTTATTGCGTGTATGTGAGTGTGTGTGGCACACATGTGCCATAGTATGTGTATAGAGGTCAGAGGACAACTTTCTTTCCTTTTACCATGTGGTTGTCAAGGACTGTATTCAGGTCATTGTGCTTGGTGGTAAGTAAGCGCCTTTACGTGCTGAGCCCTCTTGCTGGCCTGAGTTCTCTGCTTTTTGATGCACTTGTGAGTTCTGGGTTGACAACAAGGCCTGAAAAACCATTCATCTACATCAACCGTTTCACTTTATAGGGGACCAAATGTAGGTCTGCCTAAGTTCACAGGGGTATTTGGGGCCTTTTATCAGGATGCTGGTTCCCCAGAAAGAAGGGGAGGGAAAGAGAGGGAGCTGAAGTGGGAATTGGGAACTGAGCTGTGTGACTTGCTTGCTTTATTTTGGGCTTGGCCTCCTGGGCCTGAAGACAACGTGCAGATTGGTTTCTGGCAGGACCATGGCCGTGACCACAGTGAAAGTTCATGGGCTGCTGGGTTGGGGCCTGCAGCAGCCGCTCTAACAGCTACAATTAGATAAATAAGGCTGGGCGGGCGCGCAGGCCGGGACTCTATTACTGGCTATGATCTATGACACCAGAGCCTTCATTATGTTGGCTGCACTGGTTATTTATATCCGAGGGCCAGGAGGCCTCCTGTGTGCTCTGGTTTTCTTCCAGTGATCCCGGACAATAGCCAGCCTTTCCGAGGATACGGAGCGAGCATGAATGTCTCCAACACTATAGTTCTGCCTTTGACAGCACAGTCTCTCTTTCCAGGACCCTTCCACGCCTCTTCTACTACCATTTCCCTTAGACTCAGATTGAAACACGACTCTGGTCCTTGACTAATGCTTAAGGAGTCTTGGAATAAGAGACTGGGAAAACCTAGCTCCAAGGTAAAAGATCCAGGAAGCTGCTAGAGACCCATTCTTGCATCTGAGGTGGAGAGACTCTTGTGCAGTTGTCACGATCTAAATGTGTGGTGTTTGTAGCTCTTCCTGCAAGGAGGATGAAACCCCACAGCCAGCATCTCTGATCCCAGGGTAGCACTTACCTCCTCACCATTCTGGCCCAGCTCTACCTTGGGGGGGAACAGGGGGAGGGAGCAGGGCGGTTTCCTTCTTGTTGGTTTACTGGCTGGTGTCTAGAGCGAGAGTGACAGACGACACAGAGAGAAAAAGAGAGGCAGTGAATGGGGTGGGCGATAGGGAGGAGGAGAAAGGACTGGAAACCGGTGTTAGCAATGGTTAGGGGTGGCTGGAGGAGGAAAGGATGGTGACAGAACTGGCTGTCTCGGGGATGTCCTCCTGCTGAAGGCATCAGTGCTGTGCCGTTATCTGGCTCCCCTTTCTGTTCAGCAATAATGTCCTCTTGTACACGAAGTCCCCCATCTGAGCCAGCCTCTCAAGATGGCATCCACATTTTGCCTTTTTGGCCGTGAGGCAGAACCAGTCCCTCAGATCACCGCCACCCCCTTTCTTTGTCCTTTAGAGCATTTCTGTTTAGATAGCATGGGTCGATTTTATTTTTAGTTGAGAAAACCAAAGTGCAAAATCGTGTACATAAAAGAACGAGGGAGCTGCAGTTTTCTGCCCATGGGGCCGTGGCAGACCCTTGCTGCCTGGGGACACTCCCTGCCTTTTGCTTTGGTTGCTGCTGTTTGACAGTGGGTCTCCTGCAGCCTGGCCTAGCCTTGACGTCCTTACGTAACCGAGAATGACTTTGAAGTCTTGGTCCTCAACACTAGCATGCTGAAATCTCGGCTGTGTACTGCACCACGCCTGCTTTTGCTCAGCTCACCCCCCTCCCCCCAAGACAGGCTTTCTCTGTGTGTAGCCCTGGCTGTCCTGGAACTTGCTTTATAGACCAGGCTGGGCTACTCACAGAGATCCACCTGCCTCTGCCTCCCAAGTGCTGGGATTAAAGGCATGTGCACCACTCTGGCCTAGCCTCAGCTCACTCGGAATAGAAGCCACACACTACATGACTGAAACAATCTAGTCCAGCTATGCAAAGTTATAACACTTTTTAAAACGTTTTTCTTTTATAAGCAGGATTCTTCTAGAATCCGCTGGTCCTCCATCCCTGGTCTCTTTGTGGGATGTGTTTCCTCTCGAATCCTCAGTTCTGGATCCAATGCCACCTTGCCTATCTCCAGATGGGTGGACTTCTTTGCTCTGAACTCATCCAGGCTGGACAAAGTGGTACAGCACTCAGCCCTGTCCGTGGACGCTCAGGAGGAACAGGAGTCCACTCTGCCTGATTCACCCCTCCTGGCCATGGTGGGAGCCCGACTCTGGTAGGGGAGGATTCTTTGCCCAAGCGAAGCAGGTCACTAGCACATTCCTCTCTGGCTTCTCTTCCTAATTTGGCAATTGCCAAAGCTCCTCCTGCCCACTTTCTCCTCAGGGCCTGACGGGCATTCTCTTCCTCCAGTCCCAACTCCACATTTACCTCTCTGGCCACAGCCGCTTGCTCCCGGAACCGCCCGGCCAGCTGGGCCACGGAAGGCTGCGCTGAGCTGTCCACATTGGAGTTGGTCTCTGCCATTCTTTCCTGGCAAACAAAGGAGAGGCAAGCGTTCATCAGCAAGTGCACATTCCGCTCTTTGGAGGGTCACATGGGGTGCCATGAAAGGCACCTGTTTTGTGGTTCCATCAGGAATTCTGTGACGAGACATTTTTAGAAGTATTTTGCAATTGGTTCCTATATCCAAATTTAAAAACAGTTACACACACACACACACTATTCAATTATCTACATTTAGTGAGTAGCTACAATGTATTATACAGGGTTCCAGATGTGCTCCTGGAACAAATAAACCAAAGTCTCATCTTAGACAGGAGCAGAAGGGCTGGAATGGTCTCTCACTCTGCAAAAACCCATCAGATATGGGAAGTATCAACAATAGTCTGCAAACCTCCTTCCCCTGCTCAATGACTCTAAAAAATGGGGGTACAGTGGGGTGTCAAAATGCATTTGGAACCAGGGTCTTTGTGGGAAACAGAGAGAGCATTTGCCCTTCTAGAATTTTCACACCCAAATGTGAATTTTTTTTTTAAATTTGTTTTCCCTACTTAGCCGAATGCCTTGGGTAATAGTGACCATTTATTAATGAATGACATTAGAGACAGTAGCAGACGGGACGGACGAGGGCTGTGGAACTCAGAGACCTGCTCCAGCTCTCTCACTGCGGGCCAGCTTCGGCGGACGGTGCCAGTGTCTCTCATTAGGGCTGCTCTGGGTTTGGTGACTGTTGAATGGCTGTGGGTTGGTGGGGCAAGAACAGGGTTGTTGTTATTATGACTGGCTATGGGTCCAGCCTTCAGTCCTGGCCATTAGTTTATTGATGTTTCAAACCAAGATACTTGAAGGGCATAGTCCATCCCATGTGCTACTTGTCACTTTGACATAGAGAGTGAGTTACTGACCCTGCAAATGCACCTCATTTCTGGTCTCATCGTCTACATAGTAACCTGTTTTAGGTTACGTTCTCTCTCTCTCTCTCTCTCTCTCTCTCTCTCTCTCTCTCTCCTCCCCCACCCTCAGAGACAGGGTCTTGTTTTGTAAACTAAGATGACCTTGAACTCACATCCCTCCGGCTTTTTCTTCCTCCAGGGTTTGGAATTTAGGTGTGCACCACCACACCCAGCTCCTTCTGTGTTTCCTTTTTAAATTTAAAGTGTGTGTGTGTGTGTGTGTGTGTGTGTGTGTGTGTAGGTCAGAGGACAACTTGCAGTACTGCAAGCTGGACCCATAGCCAGTCACAATAACAACAACCCTGCTCCTCCCCCCACAATCTCCACAGCCATTAAACTGTCAGTCACTAAACTTGGACAGCCCTAATGAGAGACTCTGGCACCACCCGTGTCAAGGCTCAGACTGCTGAAGCAATGAGAGAGGTGGAGCAAGTCCCTGGTTGAGTTCCAGCAGCACCCTTAGCCTGTCTGCTAGTGTGGGAGTCAGTTCTTTCCTTCTACCAGTGGGTTCCGGGAATTGAACTCAGGTTGTCAGGCTTGGTGGCAAGCACCTTTACCTGTTGAGCCATGTTGCTGGCCCCACCTCTTGGCTTTTTGGTGGTCATATGTGCTCAACCCTAGAGCTATTAGTTGTTTTTTTTTGTTTGTTTGTTTTGTTTTGTTTTGGTCTGCCATCGTGATGGGGACATTTCTTAACATAGAGAACCTTATCACTCTCCCTTTGTCTTAGGGGGACTTGGGTAGCAGTTTGAGAAACTCCATCTCTGCCTCCCCACGGATCTAAGATGGATCATGCCCAACTCCAGCATAACCATGCATCTCTATGCCACTTATATTCCTGTGCACAGACAGACATATTCACAACCCTCCTTTTGGTACTAAAAGTGTCTCCAAGTTTTTTGATTTGGTCTCTGCTACCTCCCACCAATTAAGTGGTATAAACATAGCTGGTTGGAAAAGAGATCTGTGCAGAGGTAGGAAAGGAAGAACGGAGCCTCAGACCTCCGGATGTGAATGGCGCCGAAGTCAGGTATTTCGTTCCCGTCGTCTGCGACACTCGTGTTCATCTCACCCCAGTCTAAACACTGGCAGTGACCTCAAGGGGGATGTCAAACGATTTACCTCTATTTAAGATGCCAGATTTTCCCCAAGTTGTTGGGAATGCCCCAGAAGCCTGAACGCTCCATCCGAGGAGGCTGTTGGATGGGCTCAGGACTGGTCCAGGTCTGATCTTTGTACTGGTCACATGAATAGCAGTCAGAGACCCACACCTTGCTGTCCTGAAGCACCAGAAAGGCTTCAGGGGCAGAGGATGGGGAATCGAGCTGCCCTTGGCAAAGATGCAGGCTGATCGGTTTGTCCATCTGTCTAGCTTCCTGTCACTCACCAGCATGGCCTCTGTCCACTGCTATTTATTTCTCCAGGCCTGCTGACGGTGCACCCTACCTCAGCTTCCAGGCGCTGAGGGCTAGTGGTGCAGCGAGAGACATTCCAGCTAAAAATAGAGCCACAGAGGGATCAAAACCACCGGAACTTCCCTGTCTCAAGATGTGCTTGACAAGGGGCTCAGCAGCAGGGAACAAAAGGCTTCTGGGAGCACTAAGGGCTTACGAGTTGGGTGAAAGAAGAGATTCTAATACAGAGTTTGCTTCCGTAAGTCCCCTAGGTTAACAAGTTATCTTCAAATGGCAAAGCTTCTCCCCTCTACCTGTCTCCAGGGCACCTCCTTTCCGAAATTTCAGAGTACTGACGGATGGCTACCGCACACCCTGAAGCCCAGAGGCACACATCACTTAGCCAAAGACACGTAGGAGAAACCAAATGGAATTAACCATGGGAATATTTGACCCTGACACCCAGCGAGGGCCATGAGTTAAGTAATAATACATCCCATGGAAAGCGTTCTAAGAACTGCAAAGGGCTATTATGTAAGTATCAAGATTATTATTAGCCAGTGAGTTGCGCAGGTGCAATAGAAGAAGCAGGATCTTCAGGCTGGAGGCTCAGCCCATGTGAGGCTTTGCTTCCAGCTTGCATTGCAGTCTTAGCCACAGAGCTCATTCGGCGGGTGTGGTGGGTGCGACGGCTTGCAAGCCCACCCCAGGCTGGGGCTCCCACTGTCTTCTGTGCTGTACCCCACACCCATCAGTTCTTATGTAAATCATGCTACTCTTACCGACACTGCGTAGCTGAGGATGATCTTGAACTTTTTTGTTTGTCTGTTTGCTTGGTTCCCCCCACCCCCACCCCCCGCCGGCCCGAGACAGGGTTTCTCTGTGTAGCCTTGGCTGTCCTGAAACTTGCTTTGTAGACCAACTGGCCTTGAACTCACAGAGATCCTCAGGCCTCTGCCTCCTGAGCGCTGGGATTAAAGACATGCATTATCATGCCTGCCGATCTTAAACTTTTGATGTCTTTGCTGCCTCTCCCCAAGTGCTGAGGTTACAATGCCCAGTTTTGTGCAGCACTGGGAACCGAAGCCAGGGTTTTGTGCATGCTAGGCAAGCACTCTACCTATTGAGCAACATCTGTAGCCCACGTATTCTTGGCTCTGAGAAAGACTTCAGTTGGGCGGTGGTTGTACATAACCTTTAATCCCAGAGCTGGGGAAGCAGAGGCAGGCAGATTTCTGTGAGTTTGAGGCTAGCCTTATCTATAGAGCAAGTTCCAGGACAGTCAGGGCTACACAGGGAAACCCTGTCTCGAAACAAAACAAAACCAAAAATAAAAAAGAATGACTTCGGCGTCTCTGCCTCCTTCTAGGCATTCCCAAGGCTCTCAACTTCCCTGGATAAATAATTTTTTTTCTGGTTCATAAAGTACTTAACACTGGGCCTGAAGTGTAGAAGGAGTTCATCAGAGCTTGTCCCACCCCCATTTGGCCCTATTTGCCAGTGTAGGACCTGGATACCTGCTCCTCCAGCCTCTGACACCCTTAACTCACCCTGGGGACCACATGGGGTTGCAGCCTCAGCCTCCACAACATCCTTCTGGACCTGAATCTTGCTTGCTACACCCTTCCTGCCACCAAACAAGCCCGGCTCTGCCAGCTACCTCTGAGACCAGTTACAAGAATGTCTGACTCTGCCGAGGCCAGGAGCAAATCACCTGTGGTGTTTCCTTTCCATGTCTGTGGGATTTTCTGAGGACTGAGGAGCCTATGTCTAGACTGTGTGGAACTTCCTGGATGCTGTTGCCATGCTGAGTAAACACAGTTTGGAGGCTGCTGACCATCCACATAGTAGAACCTTTGTGTATAGGCCAGAAGAAGGCCCTGCTACCTCTCTGGCTCTGCCCTGCTTCTCCACCCTGCTTGTTGTTTGAAAGCTGAAGTGCCTAACAGACTCTGGGCCACAGTGTAGGGGAACAAGGTATGTTGAGACGCCTGATTGTGCATGGCCAGGAGAGGGCTGTGCTTGAGGGTGGAGGATCGTTTGCTCTCAGCCAATAAGAATGTTTCTTGCTCATTAGAACAGTGAACCCAGAGCCTCAAAGGCATAAAGGATGCTTCCTGTTTGGGTCCTCCAGAAAGGAAAAAGATCTTAGACAAGGCTGTCTCCTAGGAAGAGTTCCCATCCCTACAAAGCTGCTTCATCATCACTTGGGAAGGAGCAGTGTAGAGTCTTGGGGTGTTCTCTTTGCTCCTAACTCTTTCGTTTATCCCAGTGTTTCCCTCATTGCCATCCTAGGACGACAGAAAGGCTTCTGGACCAGACTAGGCAGGTTCGCTCATCCTACCTGCTTCTGTGAGTACTGGTCTCAGAGCAGTGTGACGCGTTGTCTGATTTTTACCTCACCTGGAGGAGAAAAGTGGAGCCATGCTACAGTGTAACTTTCTGCTGAGTAAGTGATGGCAAGGGAGGGAACCTCCTGGGTTCTGGAGTGCCAGCTTTACCCACATGTCCAGCCCCATCACTGGAGGGTGTGTCTCTAGCTCCCCTTATCAGAGACCCTGTTCTAGGCTCTGATGCAAAGGTGAATGGGGCAGGACTATTGCCCTCAACAACGAAGATGCAGACAGACCAACAACAAGGAGATATGGGGTTGATAAAAGATGTGACGGAAGCAAAACTGGTC